ATGCTGATGGCACGCATGTTCTTCTTCCAGGCTTTCGCACTTCATCGGGCTCGGCCTTGCTCCGCGATTTCCTTACTGACCTGAGTTTGTGTGCACCGATCACTAGTGCGGTTCATGAAGGCACTACATGTACATGGACATCACCTTCTCAGGAGGAGTTCACCATTGACTATGTCCTTGTCCCTGTGCACTGGCTTGAGCGTTGTTCTTGTTCCCGCATCCTTGAAGACTTCGATCTGGGCAACAAGGTGATTGACCATGCAGTACACGCAGTTGAACTGAAGTGGCAGCAAATTTGTTCGGTTCCCACGTCGTCTGGTGTGCCAGTTGTCGGCTTTGACCGCAACCGCATCCAGCAGAACATGCCACGTGCTCTGGAGTCCTTTGATGTTGCTCCGTGGACAGCTGATGTTGAACAGCACCTCCACGCTATCAACGAGCAGTTTCACTCACAGCTGAAACGGCATTGCCCAAGACCCAAGTCAGGACCCCAGCGGCCATACATTGATGATGCAATTTGGACTCAGCGACAGAAGAAATTGGAACACAAAGCTCACCTGAAGCACATCAGACACCTTCTTCGCAGGGAAACTATGGCTCGCGTTTTTGCGGCCTGGAAAGCACCTGACAGCTGGCTACAGTCGCAGTCTTACAGTTTTGGGACTACACTGCGAATTGGTATCCTGAAACATGGGCTCGGCTTCAGACGCCAGGCTGCCAAGTTGAAGGAACAAATTTACGAGAACAAGAATGCCTCCCTGCAAGAAGTCATCAGCCACTTCTCACATACCACCGCAGCCTCTGAGATTCAGCAGAAGTTGAAACCTTTTATGGGCTCCAACAACAAGATGAAACAAGGTATGGCTCCGCTACCACTGATCAAAGACGCACAAGGGAAACCTTGTGTCTCCCATACTGCAGCCTTGCAAAGATGGGTTGAGTTCTTCAGTGAGATGGAAGGGGGCGAAAGAGTTGATGAAGAGACACAAAGAACTTTGTGGAGAACCAATTTGGAGTCATTGCGCACCTTCATCTTGGACATCCCTGTCACAGAGATTCCTTCCTTGACGGAACTGGAACAGACTTGTCGACAAGTTGCAGCTGGTAAGGCTTCTGGGATGGACAGAATCCCTTCTGAGCTGATTCGATATTGCCCGAAGATTGTGGCCAGACAGCTCTATTCCCTCCTTTTGAAGATCGCGACACAAGGACAGGAGCCCTTGGAGCATAAGGGTGGCTATCTGATCCCAATCTGGAAGGGTAAGCTCAGTAAAGATTGCTGCCAAGCTTTCCGGTCCATTCTCATCTCGTCAATGGTTGGGAAAACGATGCATAAAGCCCTCCGAACAAAACAGACTGACTTGTATCAGCGGTACCTCCACCCACAGCAGCTTGGGGGTCGCAAGGGCATCTCGGTGGTTTTGTGTGGGCATCTTGTGCGGGCCTTTTTGCGAATCTTTGCTGCTCGGAATCAGCCCACGGCAGTTATTTTCATTGACTTACAGGAGGCCTTTTACAGAGTGGTTAGGCCATTGGCGATCTCTGGCCCCTGGAGTGATGAGCTCATTGCCACCATGGCGGAGCGCCTGCAACTTGATCAGAACATCTTGCACGACCTATATGAGCACCTGCGATGCCCCAGCGCAGTGGAGCAAGCGCAATTGAGCATGACTGCCCGCAGAGCATGACGGACACGTTTTTTGCTCTACCTGGCCAAACGGACCGTGTACGAACCAGACACGGTTCGCGCCCAGGCGATTCATATGCTGATGTGGTCTTTGGGTATTTAATGTCCCGCGCCCTGAAGAACTTTGAAGCTTCTTTGGAATCCACCAACATCTTGTCCAGATTTCCAGATGAGCCACGTATTGACCTTCACTCACGTGGCTTTGGTGATCTTGATGCACCACCCATTACGATGCTTGGGCCATGCTGGATGGATGATTTAGCCATTCCACTCACGGCGATCAACAATGAGGAGCTCTTTCAGAACTTGCAGGTGGCCACCAGTACCATCTTAGATACTCTTCGAGCGCATGCCATGACTCCCAATTTGGGAAAGGGGAAGACGGAGATCCTCTTCAAGCCACGAGGCACTGGCAAGCAAAAATGGCACAGATACCTTTTCGGGCCGCTAGCTCCAGGCTATGTCACGGCTTTGGGAGAGTATGACATCTACAAGGTGAACCTTGTGCATTCATATTTGCATCTTGGGGGCTTCACACATTTCTCAGGTGATCTTCGCAAGGAAATCAGACGCAGAATCTCCATTGCGCACCAGAGCTTCAACAAGTATCGCAAACTCATCTTCCAGAACGAGGCAATTTCAATGAGCAGGAGAGCGGAAATTTTCTCAAGCCTCATCTTGAGTCGCCTCCTGTATGGTGCCGAGACTTGGACCATGCAAGATGCGAAAACCAAGGAGTGTTTGCATAGCGCGATTATCAAGCTCTACAAACGCTTGCTTCGCTGCCCTGCAGATGACCACATCATGGACGAGGAGGTCTTGCACCGGTTGGCAATGCCCTCCCCGGGGACGCTGTTAAGGGTCAAGAGATTGAGCTATGTGAGTTCCCTCTTGAATCATGGGCCCTCGGCGCACTGGGGACTTCTGAATCAGGACCAGACTTGGCTGGATCTTGTTCGTGATGATCTCCAATGGATGGGCGACCAACTTGCCAACTCCAGCAACCTTGGAAATCCATTCGAGCACACCGACAGATGGCTCGAGATTATGCAATTTCATAGAGGTTACTGGAAACGACTCATTCGCAGAGCCAGAGAGCACTCCATTCTGCTCAATTCCAGGAGCTTCCTTTGTGCCTCAGCCCACATTCGAGTGCGCACCATGCTACAGGATCATCATTTTTGGACGGCTTCAACCACTTGTCCTTCCAGATCTTCGCCTTCCACATTTTTTGGTTGCATGTTCTGCGGCTTGCGTTTCAAGACATTGGCCGGTGAGGGAGCGCACATGAACAGAACTCACGGGAAAGTTCATCCGGTGCGCACCCTGATGGATGGGACACAGTGCGGAGCTTGCCTGAAGGAGTACTTCACTTACAGCAAGCTGAAGCACCATCTCATTCGTGCTGATTCTTGTAGAAGACAGCTGATTGGCAGGAAGTTGCGAGTTGTGCCTGAGCCGGGTGAAGGCTCCACATCGAACGCGGCTCTCCACCATTCTTGGGATGGTCGGCTACCTCCACTTCAAGCTGCTGGACCTCTACCTCAAGAAGTATGTCCTCGTGACTTTGAGCCTGAGCACACAGAGCTCTTTGAGGCGATTTCTTTGATGATTGTGGACGCGGAAGAATCAGAGCTCAACCATTTTGGATGGGGAGTACGACGTGTCATTGAGGGCTTTCCGATCTCTTGGACTGACTGTTGCAAAACGCTGCGGTGCATTCAGAACCTTCTTCTCCAAGCGGATTTGCATCTCAATGGCAAGGTCAAGAACACAATCCATCAGGAACTGGAGAGGATCTGCGATCCGGAGACGTGGCAGTTTCTGCGTGATCCTCTTAGTGCCCCTGTCAGCACACCGAAACTCTGCGAGATTGAAAAGGAGTTTGAGGAGACCGATTTGCATTTCCCACAGACGGCGGTTCCGAGACCTTGCAGTCAGGAAAGAATCTTTTTGCATTTTTTCTCTGGGCGCCGTCGAGCAGGGGACCTGCAATTTTACATGGAGCAGCTTTTTGACCAACTTTGTCCTGATGGCACCTTGCTTTGTGTTGTCTCAGTCGACTTGGTGATCAATCAGCAATGGGGAAACGTGCGACTCAAGGCCACGCAAGACTTCTGGCTTCAAGGGGTTCGTGCAGGTTGGGTCTGTGGAGCCCTTTGTGGGCCGCCTTGCGAGACGTGGTCGCAGGCCAGACACGTTCCTGACGTACGTCGACCAGAACGTGGACCGCGACCTCTCAGAGACCGCGACAATCTCTGGGGTTATGAGTCTTTGAGCCTTAGGGAAGCACAGCAGGTAGCTACAGGCAATGAGCTACTTCTCTTTTCGTTTGAGATCCTCTATGCGCTGGCGTGCATTGCGGGCTTCGGCGTCCTTGAGCACCCTAAAGAGCCGGAAGACCTTGAGAAGCCTTCAATCTGGCGTCTTGCGATCCTGAAGCTTCTTCAACAATTTCCAGGTGTCGACATCATTGATCTGTCGCAGGGCCTTTGGGGAGCACACTCGCCTAAACCCACGCGGCTGCTGACGCTGAACCTGCCTTCGCTTCGTGGCATTCTGAGGGCACACCAGGTCACATCTGACCCACCTAGGCGAAGCGCCATCGGCAAAGCTGAGGACGGTTCATGGAGAACCGCTCCACTTAAGGAATACCCGCCAGCGCTCAACAGAGCTCTGGCCACAGCCTTTTGCCAGTGGTTCCACCTTCATCCTTGCACAGACCTTGTGATGGACCCTGGCTTTTTAGAGAAGTGCCGTGCCATGGATTGTCGCACTTTTGGCACTCATTTTGGGCCTGATTACGGCGGATGACCTTCTGCTTGGTCAGGCGAATTCAAACTCGAGCCAGCAGCGACGAAAGTCCCAGTGTGCTGTGCAAAAAAATATATAGATAGATAGATAGATAGATGTATATATATATATATATGTGCGCATATTACAATCATATCATTATCATTCCCATATCACATAATATCATATACCTCCAACCCCCCGACCCAAAGGCCCCGTGATCTCTCCCATTTGGCACCGGTCGCAAACAAAAAGGGAGCCAGTCACCTGCCTGATCAGTGAATCCGGAATAGATCTCAGTCGCAAGGCGATGATTGGTGGGGTTTCCCACCAACAGCTGCGGTTGGAAAATTTGGGCCAAATTGGAAAGGTATTAGCTTTTTGATAACATCCAAAAAAAAGATAACATCCAATCTGAATTCTATGGTAATTCACCCACCTATGATAACTTCGGCCGCTATAGTTGGCCCAATCCCATCATTTACATGGCCAAATTGTCCCATGATATTCCCATGGCGGCTCTCGATCCCGTATGTCTTTATATAATCTCCAGTTTCAACCACCATATGAGTCAACAAATGCAGTGGATTTACCCTCTGGTCATCAAACACAGTGGGAAAATCCCCGTGGCCTCGCCATGGAGGTTTCAGAAGGGAAATTCACGAACTAAATGGGGGATTTTCCGTTGCCATGTTTCATTAGAGGGTAATCCACAGTTTTAAAAATCACCACTGAGATCCCGGGGTTTCAACTACAACTTCTGTGGCAAATCCTCGTTGTTCTCGTCGTGAAATCCCCCATCTTTGCTGCCGACTTCAGTCGACTGATTGGCTTACGCAAAAATATCAGATCTAGGCTTCATAGGTGATGAATTGTTTGCTGCTTAAATCCGTATGTTTCGATTGTGGTGTCTGACGTGGATTAACATCATGTGGTGTTTACCCTCACCATTTTTATGGGTTAAAAAAAAATAAAATGGCAGGCTTATTAGGCCTATTAGTGGGCTTGCCCACATTATATAATTATACATGTATATATATATTCTATATATATATATGTTGTCAACTGCATGTTGGGCAGTGCAAGAAATCACTCAGCTCACTCTTTTGACTCTGGGGTAGCAAGATCTCACTGAACGGCAGGGTAGGCTAAGCGTTTTGCTTGCCGAAACATTGAAATGTGTCCTCGTCCAAAAACGCTTGGGTGGATGTGTGGGTGGGCGTTTTTGGCATTTGAAGAAGGATGCCCACCTCACCACACCCTTGAATCCAACGGCTTCCAGAAACAAAGTTATTGCACTGCCTCACAACTCACCAGTTGTTTCAACATTCCGTTTGACAATTTGATCACAAGTGAACTGCATCGTCAACTGCATGTTGGGCAGTGCAAGAAATCACTCAGCTCACTCTTTTGACTCTGGGGTAGCAAGATCTCACTTCCCCCTCTTTAAAATCTTGTCTACCCATTGCACAAAGTTTGAAGGATATCCTGAAGAGCATCGACTGCTTTTGTTGTAACATCACGGTCATCAGTAAGTAAGTGATGTCGTTGAAGTCTTGAAGGTCCATCACTTATGTTTGCTTCTGTGGGAACTCGCGCATACCAGGTCTGCAAACAACACCTGGATTCCATTTCCAACTGATACCTCATGAGGCACTGTCCAGCAGAGCAGTTAGAAGTTGCCCTAATAAGGGAAAATCTCACACCATCATTGTCACCAAAGTGGACGAAGAAATTCTCGTCCTGCCCTTCGCACCACAAAGCTGTTGCCAACACAGCCGCAAGAAGCTCCAGTTCGTAAATGATGGTCCCTTTCTCCATGGACCCAAAACGCACGCAAATCTCCTTGCTTAAGGAGAACCCAAACCACTGCAAAATATTTCCACTGTCATCCACAAGCACGCCACCAAGGCCTCCAGACAGTTCGTCTGTCTCATAGCACGCATCAGTATACATGTAAAATTGTTTGCCCAATTTTGCAGAAATTGAACGTGGCTTGGAGTGTTCCAAACGCTTGGCCATAGCCCGCAGGGCCGCTTTCAAATCATCGTCCATGAACTTCGTGCGACCATACGCATGGTCAATAAGTCGCTTGAGGACCAATTTGCCAAGCCTCCCATGCACGCAAGAGTCAGCGAAACCCAGGCGGCCTCGCAGCACCAAGGCTTCCTGCTTTTCCAAAACACCAGTTTCCACCACACGTGAAATATGCTGTATCAGTTCAAGCTTCCTCTCATCAGTATTGCAAACAGAAAGAAGGCCGGATTCAGACCGACTGAAATCGAATTTTACTCCAAGAGCCTTACACACCTTGGAGAAAGAAGTTGCTTTCTTTCCCTCCTGCGCAAAGTCCCAACCAGTGAGACGGAACAAAAGTTCCATGCTCGCCTCTGCAGAAAAACTCAGGCCAGGTCGAGAGGCCAAAATAAAGTCATCGTAGAAGTTGGTTGTAAGCAAATGCAATCCCCTGACTGCCAATGAGAAGAGGGCGCGCGACAGGCGCAGAAAGCAATACACGCTATGTGTTGCACCAAAAGGCATTGTCCTCAACTGATATATCTCTGCTCGCTCTGTCTCGCAATTGTACACACTAAAGTAAGAAAAACAGTAGTGGTCAGGTCTTATGGGGACCTGGCGATAGGCGCTCTTGAGGTCAAACGTTTTCGCTAGCAACTCCATGTTGGATCCAGAGGCACTGCATTCCTTGAAGTAGTGTTTGACAACTGCGCAAAAAGTATCAACCATGTGGAGGTCCAACTTGTTGTTAACTGTGCAGCTGTCATTGATCCCGCTTATGCTATAATCATCAATCATACGCGTCTTGGACCCCTGGCTCAGGGGAAAGCGCCTGGAGATCACTGCACCTTCCTCCAACTCTTCAAGGTCAAACGGCCCTACGGCCCAACCCTTTTGCACTTCCAGCTTCGTCTCATCCAACAGCTGTTTATCCACTTCCGATGAGCCAGAACTTTGGGTCATACTAAGAATGACCTTGTTGAGCTTGGGCGCATTCTGTCGCAGCTGATCCAAAGTTGCAAGGCATGGCTTGTATTGGCGCTCAAAAGCGGGTGATGTCTCAATCTCACCAGCGAGTGTGGCCCCTCTGGCCAGAAGCTCGAGAGCCTGCGTATCCTCATAGCCAATATCTTTGAGCATTTCTCCAGTAAGCATCAGGCGTTTGTTCTGCGTAAGCCCAGCAACTATAGGATCTCTTGAAGCCGCATCCAACCTCTCAGCACTCTCAAGCTCCGACGCTCGAGTGATCCACTTTCGACACCAGAAAACACGATATGAAATCATCTGTTCATCACTCCATTCCATGTGCTTTGCAACTGCACTCCTGAGCTCCCACGGCACTCCAGAATCTCTAGTTGCAGGGTGCCCGACTTTGCAAGCCTGTGAAATAAAGGCTTCAGGCGTCCAGGGAATTCCAAAAGCCACCTCAAAATTAAAGCCACCTTCCGGAACGTCTGCCGCAGCTTTCCGTTGACGCCGCCTCTTTTGATTGTGCTCCTCATGTTCACCCCTTTGCACAGGGGCATCAATCGCAGAAAACCGTAAAAACCTGCTGTGTTTTGGCACTTCGACAGGAACTCCCTCCTTTGTATGGAGGATGACATCTCGTGGCAACTTTGACATGAGGGAGCAAGGGATGTCAGTCAGCTGACGCACCAAGAAGACAGCTACCGAGTTTGATTCTGATACCATGGGAGGAACTTTGGATGGCTTGGGCTGTAAACCTGAGGACATCTGCGCACGTTGTGCTTCTTGCAAAGGGTCTGACGCATCCAAAATCGATGCTGGCATCTGTTGCACGCCCAAACTTGCAGCAAACTGCAAAACCAATTGAACCAATGCTATGCACATTTTCCTTGGATATCTTGATTCCAGTGATGTTGCCCACACTTGCCTGCCATCATCATCTCTAGCAAAGCCCCAGGGTTCGTGCGTATGGGAGTGGTCGCACTTGATGTTTAAACTTACAACTGCAGGAAAATTGCCAATGATACGCGTCCACTTGTCTCTTGCTCCACCCAACATGCAAACCTGGAAGTCACCGCAAAAAAATTCTACAGCAGCCATCAATGCAAGGACCCACTTCGTGATCCAAAAGTAGCTGTTTCTTGGATTCTCCATCGTCGCTATGACTCCTAAGGAGCAAGCCCTCTCAAAAAGAAAACAAGAATACTCAAAAAGGTCGTTGGCAATCTCAACCCTTTGCATATCTGCATCTGACAGTCCATCTAAACCTTCAGGCTGAAGATTGGACCTGAGTGGTTGAGGATCGCCTGGAAAGCGGCGTATGTCCCTGGCCCTTGAGGCCGTACCGCAAACTGGTGCTATGTGAATCCACAGCAAAAGAGGGGACAGCAGCCACTCCTCCAAAAGGGCCCGATGATGTCTGTTGCACAAATCAAGTTGTATGATAGAGCTTCTTGCTGATTTTTTCTTGACTTTGTCAATTGCTATAGAGCTACCCATTCCAGCCTGCTTAGCAGTAGCACACAGAATTGCAACGCCAGCAAAAATCTCGATCATAAAACATTGTGACAAAGAGACACCTGTCCAGTCCTTGTAGGAAGTGACTGCTGCTGACCGTCACTTGCCAGGGTGCTGCTGTAAGGAATGGTCGCCACCGCACTTTGGCTCTGCACAAATGTGGTAGCCTTTCGAGCACTTCTGCCCCGGCTTGATGCCTTTTTCTGCGCAGCCACTTCGACAATTGAACCCAAAACAAATAGGGTCACCAGCTGCTGTGCGATGCCATTTCCCACGTAGTTCATTGGGAACAGGCGGAGAAGATTTGCCTGACCTCTTCCCTTTTCCAAAGCCCTTGCCTTTGTTGGATGGTTGGCCATATGGTTGTGACCTCGGGTTCGAGGGAGAAGCTTGAGCAGGCCCTGTCTTAGGCCCAGCTGAAGGCATCAAGTACAATGCAATCAATGGGTCACCACGCAACTTCAAAAGAGCATCCCCCAAGGGGTATTCTCCTGCATCATTCATGCGGATTGAACCAACTGTTGTAGCCAGGCGTGAGAAGGCCGCTTTGTCGCATTGCAGGAGTTGTGCAAGAGAGGGGCGACTGTACCCCGGTGGAGCTTCTCTGTGGAGCGCCTCAAACAGAAAAGTTTCCCATTGGCTATGTTGATCGAACGACATGATCCTGCCAAACTGAAAGGCCACTCCTCTACGCACCAAAGCATAGTGAACTTTGATCTCTGAATCAGTTGCACTGGTGACTTTGTCCTCCTGGCTTTTCCAAACCAATGAGCCACGTTCCAAGGTCAACTCTTTGCTCTTGGTGGTCCCCTGTATCTCCAAGGACCGAGGTATGCAAGTAGCAAGGTCCAGATACTTGATGGCGTTTGCCTCATGCATGGCGCACACCCTGTCAAGCAACGAGTGAGCTGGTTCCAACTCACCTGTCAGGCTCAAACCACTTAAGCCCGCTTTCAGAGTTTCCATGCGAGCTTGACGCTCTGCGAAGGGGATCTTCCTGGGCAGGCTGTCTTCTGAACGGTCAACAGCCTGCCTCAATGTTGCTGTCAAGAAGGTTTGCGCCTCAAACGCTACCCTCTTCAATGAAGCCACTTCTGTCAACGTTGCAGCCTTGCCCACGGAATTTTGCACCAATTGTTCAACTGCCTGGTCAAGTATCACTTGCCCTGGTTGCCCAACTGCAAATGCTAGTTGTGACAAGGTCCTGACTCCGTGGCGCTTTAATCCATCGATCAGGGCAAGATCAATCCCTGTCTCTCGCAGCTGACTTTCGTACTGTGCAGTGCTATCAATCAAAGAACTCATTGCTGCAAGTGAAAGGCCTAGAAGGTTCTAGGCACACCTCTCTAGAGCAACAAACACATGTGAAAATTCATTGAAACCTGTGATTCAAGCAAAATGTCAAAATGCATGAAAGAAGGCGTGACTCTCTGAGGGCGTTACCAGTTTCAAACTGCAGCGCGCGACGCCAAAATCAAACAAATCATGATTGGAAAATCTTGACTGGGAAAATTGTGCTTGCTTCCACATCTCAACGTCAAGGTGCATGCTGAGCCAAACTATCAAATCAAAAAATTAGTGGCTTTCCACAGACGGCTCAAATGGTGTGTGTTCATGCACTAATGCTCAGTGCCTTTGCACAAAATGAACTTCCAGCTTTCTGGCTTCAATGGTACAACCGTTGGCTTTCCAACACTGCAGCTTTCTGCATTCAATTTTTCTCAAACAACTTCGAGCCCCTTTGGGCAAATGTCTTGCCCTTTGGCACCATGCTAGTCTTGAGCATCACTGGTCCGAGCTCCTGGACCGCTTGATTGCCAAGTCAATTGACTCAGTCAATTGACCTATGTCCCTAATTCTATTGTGATCCTTTGGAAAACAACGCAAGCACTTGGGATACTTAAAGTGAAACTCACGTCCAAGTTTTCTGAAATTGCTCGTCATTTTGATTTTGCAAACCGCTGTCTCACTTCCTTCAACGCACTTGTGCACTATGCCACTCTTGGCATGCCTGTAAAACTCATGGCCTGCAGGAACAACCTCAGTGTATGGATGCTGGCCTTTAGCAACATCTTGTGCTGAGGAGCTGGAAGTCGTGCTGCTTTCTGATGAATCACTGTCGCTACCAGAAGAGCTCTCGATCTCAATCAATCCACCTGCTACCACTTCTGCTGGGTACAAGGTGAGGTTGTCTGCGGCCCTTTCCAAACTGTCCATGTCAAGCTGTTCCTCCTTGACACTTCGCAGCTCCTCAGCTTCCACAGCAACGGCAATGGCCTGGCTGACCGCTGCACTGACGCTGGACTGAGGCCCCTCAGCAGCAGGAAGAACCTGCTCAGTAGCAGGTGGCACTGGCGTACGTGCTGCAACAGCCGGTGTTCTGGGGGCAGGCGTTGAAACTACGCCCAGCTCTTTCATCGCTTCATCCTCAAAGCCTAATCCCAACCGGACTCGGCGCAAGACCAACCCAAGCTTGCGCAGGGCTCTCACCTGCAAATGCCTGCTGTATACCACTTCAGAACCACTCAAAGCACTGCAATGATGTCCAAGCACAGCCCTGGTCTCCTTGTCCAGTCCTGCTCTGGCACACCACCCAAGTAGTGTTGCTTTGAGGGAGTGACTCCTGAAAGACTTGGAGTCTGGGCGTTCCTTGCAAAAGCGCCCTTAACCAGTCAGCTGCTTCTGCTGTTGTCAAAGGTCTTGCACAGAAACTTCCACCCAGTTTTGGTGCAGGCAGAAAAGGTCCCAAAGGCCGCTTCTTGAGGTTCAGACCAGCCTCCTGATAGACATCCAGGAACGTCTCCAGCCAGTCATCTGTGCTGATACCCTGCCATGGCACCACAATGGGCAAATACTGCTCACGCCTCAAACCAACACTTGCAGTCTTGTGTTCTGTTGTGAAGATGGTCATGTTCTCTCCTTGCTCGATCTCCACATGCTCAACAAACCGCAAGTCACTCCACCGTGCTCGACCATAAACACAAATAAGGAAGCATCCAGCACCCAATCTGTCAATGAGGTTACCAGCATTGGACAAGACTTCATGAAGGCGCTTGATGTGACTAACTTCAAGACCTGGGGCCTGACGTGTTGGGCCCTTGGCCATCTTCTCCAGTGCAGCAAAGCCAAGCAACCTCCGAGAGCAGAGGATTGAATCTGTACCTAAAAGATCCAAGGTGAACTTGCAGAACCGAATCGCCTCCAAAAAGGCTGATGGCACTGTAAACCCCTTGCGGGAAGTCATCCTTTGATCTTTCAACCACAAAAAGTATTGCCAAACCACCTCTTCTACCAGAGGAAAAGCTCTGGCTCCCAGTTGCCCACAAATTGGACTGCTGTCAAACCATGTCAAAAATTTTCGAATGGCGCTTGACCGCTTAAGCAATGTCGATGGGCTCTTCACTCCAAAGCAGGCTTTCAAAATCATGATTGCATCATCGCCACTGCTGTCTCTCTGTAAGGACGCGGCCAACTGGGGTCCAATTCCAGAAGCACTCCAGTCAATTGCCAGGATGTTCAACCACTGTGCACACGCTAGATCTGTCTTTTGGTTCTTCTCTTCAAAGTACTGTAAGTCTTGCAAGCTCTTAACAGCATGAACATATTTTGCATCATCCGGCAAAAGAAATCTTTCCAGTTGCGTCTGCATGGATCCTGAGGCTCCTGCACTGGTCTCCAAAGCTTGCTCTGCTAATCCAGGACACAATGGCAATGGGTCTTGACTGAAATTGAAAATGTCTGCAAGTGCATCCATCTCCCACGGATAACGCAACATCTCATCAGGCTTCCTATGTTGAGAAAAACCAGTAGCCACTATCTCTTGCCAAGCCTGTGCATCCACCAAAGGCTCATGCTGCGCATGCACTGCAAATTGCTGAAATTCAGCCGCAGGATCAAAAACGTCTTCCTGTGTGACAGTCTCGGTTTCACCTGCTACGCCTTCTATGCCAAAATGGTCACTGAAGTCCGGCAAGGAGGTCCCACCAAACAAAGGAGATGCATGCTCAACAGGGTCAACTTCACAAGCTTGCGATTCATCTCTCTGAGCTCCATGCACGTCACGTCCAATCTCCCTTCTGAAGGAAGTAGGTGTTTCCAACAGGTCTAAGACTCGAAAAGGAAGCCCTTGTTGAACATGATCAAGCATCTCAAAAGAAAGTTGACCACTGTCAGCAACGCTAGGTTCATATGCCGGACTGTCTGCACCTCCAGTTTCCATGGCTCAAAACTACAATTACCTACAACCCCCCTATGCCGTTTTTGGCATTTGAAGAAGGATGCCCACCTCACCACACCCTTGAATCCAACGGCTTCCAGAAACAAAGTTATTGCACTGCCTCACAACTCACCAGTTGTTTCAACATTCCGTTTGACAATTTGATCACAAGTGAACTGCATCATATATATATATATGTTATTTATATTTATATTATATTTATATATGCTTTATATATTTATATATTATATATTCTATATATATATATGTATATATACACATATTTCTGCCAGTGAAATCTCTCCAACCTAAAAAATTCACCGAGCTCGGAACGCCCGCACCCTTCTCCACGATGATCTCAGGTGGTACCAGCGGATGTGGATGGTGATTCCCCGCTTTTGACCCATCGCTACCCAACCTGGTTATGACTAACATAGCCATGGAAGCCATGGCCCTAATCGAAATAGATGGTTTACCTATTGAAAATGGTGATTGTAAGATGTTTCGATGGGAAAATCATCGAAGCCTCTGGTGATTTCTTAGCGAAAGTGGTCATGACAGGTTTATCTATTATTACATAGTGCTTGTTAAAGGCGGTCATTTTCCATACCATAACTGCTGTTCAAAAAAACGATCCACCCGAAACCGGTTCGAGAACACCAGTTTAACTCATGGCGACATAGCTGGTTCAAACAGAGCTGGATTCAACAAGCAGCAGATGGGATTTTTACCCCAGCCAAAATGAAGGGGAAAACTTCGCAAGAACTGGGTAAACCCACAAAAGCCAAATCGCACAAATCTACAGCATCTTTGATCCATCGTCATCGTCGTCATCATCATCATCATCATTATCATCAAAATTATGATTGTCCTTATGTTACCCCATGACATGCCAGAAACCAGGACAACCATGACTCTTCGAAAAAACCGAATCCCCATTTTTTGTTCTTCACCATGATACATCTCACGAAAATCAGCCCTCCAGTGAGTTGGTGGTTAAATATCTACAAGACCTACTGTGCGTTTTTTTTTGGGAAAAAAATGGTGTCCAACAAAAATATCCTGACAATTCCCCAGTAAAATCCACATGTTTTGTGCGTAGCATCGAGCTTTTCCAATCAAAAATGCCAGTTTTGTTGGGAAAATCTTCACCGGAAACCATGGTTTTTACCCTAAAAAAAGGGGGGTTTCACCATGAAAATCCCATCCATTGAATCCTACATACCCCGGCCCACCTCCCCATCTGCTAAGGCACTCCATAGCCATCTTTGATCAACTGCTCAGCCACATCCGGGGCCATGCTCACACGTTGGTCGCCTGTCATCGAGAAGAGAATCTCCCGGAGGCCACTGAAGTCTGATGGGATTTGATGGAAATTTGTGCCATGGCTGAAACTTGGGGATACTCATTACCAATATTGGGGCATGGTCATCAATCCGTTCATATATCGGGATTTATACTGTGGATGGTTGCGAAATCCTGCACCACTTGATAGATGGTAAACATCCCATTATTTATGGGGTTTCAACCATCCTTTTGGTGGTGCAGGATTTTTCTTCCATCCACAGTAGGATTCGATGGGTTTTTTTCAGTTTATCTGATCTTTTAATAGAAACTAGAGGAAGTTTATTGTAAAACAATTTTGACACTGAGGTGGCTTACAACAGGAAACTTGTCGTTCTGACTGCCGCTGAACACTGCTACTATTCAATTGCATCTGCACTCCCACCTTTTTAACTGCCTGAACGAAGCTGTAGCGAAAGACAAAGCTGTACTCAGCAGCGGACTCAAAACAAGAGTGAACAAGTACACAACTATTTCCAAGCCCTTCTTCAGGTTCTATGTTATATCATGAGGGTTTATTATGGGTGGCGAAAAAAACACACAAATCCAGGCACTGCAAGCCAGGTGCGCGACCTGGTGTCATATCAATTCTCGGTTTGATCCTCCATCTATCGCCATATTCCATTGGATCCCCCCTATTGGTGGTTGTATATGCCAATTCTATTCCTCTTTTTCGATGGTTAAATTGCCAAGTTATCCACTTTTTGAATGGGACAAACCATACTAATTCACCATGAAATATTGGGGATAGATGTTCAAGACCCTCGTCCCTAAAAATACTGCTTAAGACCAGATTTCCTAGTTCATGGATTGTCATCATTATGAGAATCCTGCTTAAATTATCGAGAATGTAGCCAGCTTCCATCCCAACTACCCTCTGGTTATTTAACATAGCCATGGAAAATGGCCCATAGAAATAGATGGTTTACCTATTGAAAATGGTGATTTTCCATGGCTATGGTAACCAGATGGTATATCCCAACTGAGTTCCCCATTTTTCCTCGAGAAATCCCAGCGGTTTTTGGGGCCTTTGGAGAGACGGCTATCTGGGCTGAAGCCCTCATGGAGCACCCCCAGCTCCAGAGCAACAGCCGCACCAGCCGTAGCAGGCGGCAGCCTGGGAGATGTCCTAACCCCCTTTTTTTGCAAAAAAAACTCAAGTTGATCATTATCCCAAGTTTATTTGTACATATGTATCTATATCTATATCTATATCTATCTATATCTATATCTATATCTATATCTATATATCTCTATCTCTATATATATATGGTAAATATATAATCCGCAAACAAATGTCGATGTTGGGGCGAAACCATTTGATAAAAGACAGCCTTATGGCTTCCTTGGCAGCGCCAATCAGGACGGAATCCTCCATCAATTCGAGTTGTGATAACCAAATCTTATCATTTGGCAGGCTTGCGGGGGAAAAAAATGGGGTTGGTTGTTACTGTGGCTTTACCGCCTTCCCCAAACAGAAAAGTACCCAAATAGATGCAGTCAATTAGTATTCAATTGGGATGAATTGTAAGGGAAATGAATCTGATCAGGGGTCGGAGTTGATTCTACTCACCCCTAATTATCCATTGATCAATCAGTACAGTGGATTGTATCTGTTGTATGCCATTAGTTCCGGAAAAAAAAACACACATACAATAAAATACTTTACTTCGTGTGATCCCCACCATGACATTTATACATTTTCTTACTGGCAAATCTTCTGGCATTCTATCTGACATATCTTCTGACATTCTATTTGAATTCTATCTGGCATATCTTCTGGAATATGATCTGGCATATCTTCTGGCATATCTTCTGGCATTCTATCTGGCAAATCTTCTGGCATTCTATCTGGCATATCTTCTGGCATTCTATCTGACATATCTTCTGGCATTCAATCTGACATTCTATCTGGCATATCTTCTGGCATATATTCTGACATATCTTCTGGCATTCTATCTGACATATCTTCTGGCATATATTCTGACATATCTTCTGGCAAATCTTCTGGCATATCTTCTGGCATATCTTCTGGCATATCTATCTGGCATATCTTCTGGCATATTTTCTGGCATTCTATCTGGCAAATCTTCTGGCATTCTATCTGGCAAATCTTCTGGCATACTATCTGGCATTCTATCTGGCATATCTTCTGGCATATATTCTGACATATCTTCTGGCATTCTATCTGGCATTCTCTTTGGCATTCTATCTGGCATATCTTCTGGCATATCTTCTGACATTCTTTCTGACATTCTTTCTAACTTTCTTCTGCACATTCTTTGTCCCATATCTTCCTACATGAGGTCCGGCAGGGAACACTTGGAGTGGATACTCGCGGTTGAGGTCCGGCAGGGAACACTGGGCGTGGATGGTCGTGGTTGAGGTCCGGCAGGGAACACTGGGCGTGGATGGTCGTGGTTGAGGTCCGGCAGGGAACACTGGGCGTGGAGGGTCGTGGTTGAGGGCCGGCAGAGAACACTGTGGATCGCGGGTCGCAGTTGGACGAGGACGACGAGGACGACGAGGACGACGAGGACGACGAGGACGACGAGGACGACGAGGACGACAAGGACGACAAGGATGACAAGGAGGACGAGGAGGACGAGGAGGAGAGGAGGAGGAGGAGGAGGAGGAGGACGAGGCAGGAGGCAGGAGGAGGCAGGAGGAGGCAGGAGGAGGCAGGAGGAGGCAGGAGGAGGCAGGAGGAGGCAACTGACATAAAATCTAACAACCCTCACCTGGCAGGTGGGGAAATACACCCTATTCATTTCAATGTTCAAAAAAACAACCTATTTATCCTCTGGTAAACTAACATAGCTATGGAAAATCACCATTTTCAATGGGAAAATTCACTATAAATGGCTATTTTCAACGACGCCCAGAGCTCTCCAGTTCCACGGATCACGATCCGACGAGAGCAACTTATCATTCTGCAACAGCGGTGCAGTGGCCATGGCCTGAGACGAGGATTTCCAGGATATCCATATCTGTATCGATGTATCGATGTATCGATGTGTCTAAGTATCTAAGTATCTGAGTATCCATGTATCTATGTGTATGTATAAATATAGTATAAATATAGTATAGTATAATACAATACAATACAATACAAATACAATATAATATAATATAATATAATATAATACAATACAATACAATACAAATACAATACAATACAATACAATATAATATAATATAATATAGTATAATATAATATGATATAATATAATATAATATAATATAATATTATATTAGTATTATTGTATAGTTGAATTGTAACGAAGAATTTACAAGATACTCCTGGTGAGAACAGTTTCCAAACAGTGCACAAGAATTGACTGACAAGTTTGCCCTTAATCCAATTCAGTCAAATGTTGTTTACAGAAAACAGTCAAGAGAGCCGAACTGCACGATTGAGGCATTTCAAGAAATGGAGGCTTACAAAGTCATGGGTGTACCCCCAGTTGTCATCCATTTTATTTTGAGATTTTTGAAATAACCATCCAGCTACGGGGGTACACCCATGACTATGGCAGCCAGTTTTACCCTCCACAGGTCAACAATTCCCCCGCATTGCGCCTCTGATCTTGTGCGCAATCCTGGGCGGAGCGGTAGATGAAACCACACACCAAATTTCATTTTGTATAAAACTAGGGTACCCACGAAATTTGATGTTTGATCACTAGTTTTTGGTTTTCTAAAACGTGCCAAATTTGGGGCGTTCCCAATTTTCAGACAAACCCATTTGAGAATTCCTCAGTTTGGGCACCAAAAAATCGGTGCATCTTAAGTAGTTTTGGGGGTAACCCCTTCCACAGTTTAAAATCCATTCGGCTTAGCCATGGGGCCATCCGGAAGGAACCCCACATGGATTTTGCCAAGATACAGCTGGGGTCAAGTCCCTTGGTTGAAAATAGCTGAGCCAAAATTCAACGAAAACGTTTTTTCCTGATGGTTTTGAAGGTGAAAATGAAGTAAACAGTGTACATGTATGTATGCATGTATACATATATTTTTTTTTACTTATATATTTATATTTATACTATATACTGATACCCATTTTGTAAATTGTTGTTCCAATGAATAAAATGAAAATAAACCATTGGATTTTGGGATACTGTATCTTCCAACAAACCCATTTGGATGTTTGGAGTGACAAAATTTGTTTTTTTCCTTGACTGCAAGGCGCCTCGCGCATCCAAAGGATCTTCACTTGATCATAGTCATGTGGCCATTGAAATGAAAATGAGTGAAAAAACATCGACCAAACTGAAACAAGTGTTGCACCTATGCATTCATCTAGATATGAAGAGATACTACACTGAATCCACATGGTTGCACTGTACGCAAATATTTCCTACCCCGCCTTTGCAAGGCACTTTGTGTCATTGCAACTTGAAACTGGCAAGGCTGGATCATTTCATTAGCGTCTAGTCTTCATTTGAACTTGAAAGATCGCTCAAACTCTGCATCATTGCCCAAACTTCTGCACGCTGCTCAATGCACTCTTCACGTTGGGCGACAAATCTTTGGACTTTTGAACTCAAGCCTCGACGCAGGGCACGGCCCAAGCTTTCAGTGAGTCTCTCAATCATCCATAGAGCCATGTGCTCAGGACTTCTCAGGGTCGTCGGAGTAGTTTCTTCCGATTCTCAGAGGCAGCTCTGCCCTTCGATGGGCCACCAGGGGTCTGGCGATGATCGCCCACGAATACCGCCAATATGGGCTGCTTGATGCTTCTTGGCAGTTGCACAACACCATGAGCTGGCTAGTTGCCCCTTTGCATGGACTGTTCCGCTCCCATAGTCGGACAAGCATGACTACCATGTGGTGAATAGCCATGCATAAGTTCTTAGACACAGTCCAAAAGACTGCCTGGAGGCCATCGTGATCCATGGTTGGCTCCGTTGCTGGCATGTGTCGCTACTTGCAGGCACCTGGTTCTGATTGCAGGCACCTGGTTCATTGTGCTGTTTCTGCAACACTGTCCTCTGCGGCTTTTGAAGAGTTTTCACTGAGGCCATGATGTTGCTCTTAAGGTTCAGCTTAAAGCGCCTGATGGGCTACGAAGTGGCTCACTTGTGTCTGTGTGTGACTTTCGTCCAGAAAGGCCATCCATACTTTGGTAAGCCGGTCATGCGTGGCAGAATACCTCATGCCAAGCTCTCCAGTGGCAATGAGAATGTGCTTCTGGGATGAGACGATTCCGGTCACTGCACGGGACGTCAATTCCAGTGGAGTAGGCCTGACCTTTGCCCTCCTCCATTCTTCCCAGCAGGCGGCCAAAGGCAGCCACATTGGGAGGCTGAAGGTCCACGATCTGGTGACTGAGAGCCTTAGCAGCTACATTTTCCCGTAAAGACCACGGCATAAAGTGTAGGGATGACACACTGTAATGCAATCAGGAGGACCGCAAGTAACCTGGTTTTGGTGGCGGGAAAAGACTCCAGCCACCGCCAGGAGCAAGTTGTGACAGCGAGTAGCATCACCATGGGCCGCTGGGCTCCATCAAGGTGTGACAGAAGTAGCTGTCATGCAGGATGGATGACTCCACGAACCGAAGAGTGAGAAAGCGCTGCAGAATCAATATCAGCGCATCCGAGAGGCCAGTTCGCAGTTCGACCGCCATCCGGGTGAAAGGCACGCCATACTGCACGATGCCCACCGCCAGTGGCATCTGGCCGGGTTAGCCTCAGCAAACACATTCATCTCGCGACTCTTGGTGTTTCCAAGGTATAGCATTCGATGAAGCATGACAGTTTCCTTCTACTGATGACTGGTTTAGACCAATGAAGGTTCGGGTCAAAATAGGTGGCATGAGCCAAGTGAGTGTCAACCAACCTACCACAGAAGGCTTCAGCAATCTCCTGCAGTAGTTGGGCAAGTTCAATGCATGGCACAAACCGATCTAGGTCCTGCAAACTAAAGACACGTAGCAACGCAAGACCCGCCATTACATTGGCCTCCCAACAAGCTGCACTCTGTCAGCGTGCTGCTAACCTGGAGCCTTCCCCCTTTGTATTGGATCAGATGTGGCTTGACCTGCTGAGTGACGACAAACGTGGGTACCGAGCCTAGTAGTCCCTTGCTTTTTCGCTTCTCAACTCTTGAACTTTGTCCTTGGGTCATTGGGTCTTGGATAGAAGGTCTGAGAATTGCAGACCTGCACGGAATTGGACGCTTGCAATAGAGTGCGACCCTGCGATAGAGACTCTTGCTACAGTTGCCCTTCCGGTCGCCATAAGCCACAAAACTTCATTGAAACCAAAACACTAGACGACGGATGGCCCGAGAGCGTAGAGGAGCAGAGTCTTCTGTTGTTAGTATGGAGACACTATATTACAAGACAATATATTAAAGATGTATCATAAGCAGACGAGAAGAGTAGTATCAAGACAATATATCACAAGCGCAAGACAATAGTTTGCATCGTATCTTTCGTATAGCTTTTCACACACAGAACTTTTTACAGACAGACACTTTTGCACGCAGCGACTTTTACACACAGACGCTTTTACACACAGAAGCTTTTACACACAGAAGCTTTTAAACACAGACACTTTTACACACAGAAGCTTTTACACGCAGACCCTTTTACACACAGACGCTTTTACACACAGACGCTTTTACACACAAACACTTTCACACACAGAGACTTTTACACACAGAAGCTTTTACACACAGAAGCTTTTACACACAGACGCTTTTACACACAGACACTTTTACACACCATTTTTTTTTACACACAGACGCTTTTACACACAGAAGCTCTTACACACAAACACTTTTGCACACAGAAGCTTTTACACACAGACACTTTTACACACAGAGACTTTTAGACACAGAGATTTTTACACACAGAAGCTTTTACACGCAGACCCTTTTACAAACGGAAGCTTTTACAGACAAAAGCTTTTACACACAGACGCTTTTACACACAGAAGCGTTTACACAAAAAAACTTTATTCACTTCAGCTTTTACACACAGAGGCTTTTGCACACAGACGCTTTTACACACAGACGCTTTTACACGCAGACACTTTTACACACAGACGCTTTACACAAAGACCCTTTTCACAGACAGAGCTTTTACACACAGACGCTTTTACCCACAGAAGCTTTTACACACAGAAACTTTTACACACAGAAGCGTTTATACATAGACGCTTTTAGATATTTCACCGGATAACTCGGAAATTGCAATTTTTACTGCAGTTTTTGGCGATCGAATCTCATTTCGTGCGAAAGAGTTGCGCTTGAACGCCTTAAACTGACAATTTTACCTCAGGTTTTGGCGGTCGAACTTCATTTCGTGCGAAAGGGTTACGACGGAACCCTTGAACAAACCTTATTTCGTGCGAAAAAATTACGTTTCGTGCCGTCTCGTTGGCACTGTCCTGCCCATTTTTGCGCGTCTGCTTTTTCTTACGTTTTGAGGAGCAAAAATAGGTCATATTGTTTTGGTTCAATTTCATAGGTTTGAGGTCGTCGAGGCCTGCTTCACAGTCTGCCTCGAAGCTTGCTCTGAGGTGATTTCTTCTAATTTCCATACTGTACAAGAAACAAATTGGGACGCACAGAAAGAAAAAGCATGTGTTAACACTTACGCTCATGCTAGTGCGTCACAAATCTGCTTGCAAAACATCTGCGGCCAACCAGTCATGGGTCTCCTATGTTGGTCGGTGTGCTTTTTGTTTTTTTATAAAAAATGCGTGACTCAGTCTGTCCTATGAACCCACCTCATGTTGTAACTGGGTAGAAGGCGGAGTATCAAATGGACTCTGTCCGGGTACCACCAGCCATGGGTCTCCCACATTGGCAAGCGCAGTTTTGAGCATCACCTCACTGAAACCGATCCTGGTCATCTGCTCTTTTTTTTGTGGTCCGAGCCCGTTGCCTTTCAGCGGGTCCACGGTACTTGAGACTTACTCGTCTACCACGTCACGATCGCGGCCCC